CCTTATTCCTTTCCGTATATCTTCGTTTCGCTTTCCTTTCCTCTCCGCCCCTTTTCTTTCTTTTATCCCCCTTTTCCATTTATTCCCCCTTTTCTAACTTCTTTCTCCTTTCCCTTCTCCCTCCCTGCCCCTTCCTATCTCCCTCCTTTCTACATCTCCTAACCCTCCCCCTTCCATCCCTCACCCTAAAACCCTTTTCCTCATCCGACCCTCATTCTCTCCTCCTCTCTTCCCTTCCTCATTCACTCCATCTCTTTCCCTCAGTCACCCTACCTCCCTTTCCTTCTCCCTCTCTCTCTCTACCTCTCTCCCCCACCCCCTCCCTCCCTCACCCTCTTCCCCTTTCTCGTATTCCTTCTCTCTACCTCTCTTCCCCTACCCCTCCCCCTCCTCCACCACTACCTAAAAGCTACTGTAAACTGAATCCCCCTTCATTAGGAGAGGGGAGTGCCGAGATAAGGTCAGAATGGGTCAAGGATTTTCTTACAAATGCAGATTCGTGACACTTGAAGAAAAGGGGAATAGGAGAGACAGAATAAAGTACATGACAATATTAATCTTATTAATAGACAGAATGAAAGTGTATGGTGATATTACCATCAATGATAGCGATGGTTATCATAGCATAGCATAGCATTATAAAAAATGGTAAGTATCATTCTAATGATCATAACAATAACAACAATACAAATTAGTCATTACAGTAACAATAAAACTTATAATAATATAACTGAAAAACAACAACATTGTAATGACCATATTCTTTATTGAAATTCAGGGTTTTCTTTTTGCTAAGAAACGCTTGAACAAATTTTTATTATATATTGATATGTAAATTTATATAAAAGGGATTACAGTTGTGTGTGTGTGTGGGGGGGGGGGTGCGTGTGCGTGTGCGTGTGTGCGTGTGTGTGTGTGTGTGAAATTAAGTACATGTAAATCCATATTCAAAACCAACCAAGCTATAAACATGAAGATATAATATGAAAAAAGTATCAACCTAAACATCAAAATAATGCTATACATACGAATCATCACACAGCTGATTAAGCAATTAGACAAAGCGATAGGAGCGGGAATAGCATCTTAGAATCTTCATCTACATCCCTATCTATCTATATCTATCTACTGAACCTTCATCTACACATAATCTAATCTACATCCCTATCTATATCTATCTACTGGATCTTCATCTACATCTCTATCTATTTATATCTATCTACTTAATCTACATCTATCAATCTATATCTGTTTGTGACTTTATAAATCTACTTATTCATCTATTTACCAATACATAATTTATTTATATTCTTCATCAACACATCGCGAATAGATGTAAAGAAAAAGAAAAAAAAAAAGAATAGACAAAACTATAGCAAATAATAAAAAACAAATCATAGAAAATATAAATATATACGAGAAAAGAAATGTTTAAAAAACACATATAAATACACATACATATTTATATATACATATATATATATATTATATATATATATATATATATATATATATATATATATATATATACATATATACATATATACATATTTCGCACGTTATACATATTATATCAGAATGTTGAGAATGCGATTTAAGAAATTACATATAAGACAGAAGAAACGTTTGGGATACAATGTAAAAACGTTTCACTTTTAAGATAAGAAACAAGAAGCGAAACCTCACGCACGGTATGCAAGTTATGAAAAAGAAAACGTTTTGATGATCATGAAAATCACAAAATATAAACATCCCTTTTTTAGCATTATTCAAACGCCTCCAAACAAAACATAATAAAAAATGCAATAATAAACAAAAGCAAGTCAAGTAATCAATAAACAAAATCAGAAAACATGAAAATGTAACAACAAACATAAAGATGAATTATAGTTTGATAATAAAACAAACATAAATTATAGTTTGATAATAAAACATATAGATAAATTATAATTCGATAATAAAACATAGACAAATTAAAGTTTGATAATAAAACATCGACAAATTATAGTTTGATAATAAAACAGACATAAATCATAGTTTGATAATAAAATAAAAACAGAAAAATGCATAGACAAAATACAATAATATCTATCCTAACTCCGACTGAGAAAAAGCAATATGGGATTTTTAATTTTTAAAATACAACCGCGTATTTTAAATAACCGTCACGGAATGAAAATGAAAACGAAGAATATGAATAAAAAGCAAAGAACTGTCTCGTGAAAAAACATGTTTTCTTAATAAACAAAAATAAATATATATATATAAACAAATTAAAAATTAAAAACATTTACAAAACAAGAACCCTGAGGAGTCGCTTTACACGAACACAAAATTAATTCTCAAAAAATAAAAAATTGGCATATTTTGAAAACAGGAAATGGAAATGAACAAAAAAAAATAAAGTAATTAGTTTTAAAAATCAATAGACAGATGTATGCAAATATAAAACAATAACAGATAAAAAAAAATCTCAAGAGCCTCCTCATAAGAACTCAAAATGAAAATCTCAAAACTCATTTTTTTCACTTTTATTTATTTATTATTAAACTTTTTTTTCACTTATCCATTTTCTTTTTTTCGAAACAAGATTTTTAAAACCGCCCAACTTCCGCCGACGCCCGCATAAGAACTCAAAAGGAAAATCTCAAAACATTCATTTTTTTCACTTTTATCTATTTATTATTTATCTTTCTTTTTTTTTTACTCATCTATTTTCTTTTTTTTCGAAACAAGATTTTTAAAACCGCCCAACTTCCGCCGACGCCCGCATAAGAACTCAAAAGGAAAATCTCAAAACATTCATTTTTTTCACTTTTATTTATCTATCATTTATCTTTTTTTTTTTTTACTCATCTATTTTCTTTTTTTTCGAAACAAGATTTTTAAAACCGCCCAACTTCCGCCGACGCCCGCATAAGAACTCAAAAGGAAAATCTCAAAACATTCATTTTTTTCACTTTATTCATTTATTATTATCTTTTTTTTTTACTTATTTATTTTCTTTTTTTCGAAACAAGATTTTTGAAGCCGCCCACCTTCCGCCGACGCCCCGCATAAGAACTCAAAAGGAAAATCTCAAAACATTCATTTTTTTCACTTTATTCATTTATTATTATCTTTTTTTTTTTACTTATTTATTTTCTTTTTTTTCGAAACAAGATTTTTGAAGCCGCCCACCTTCCGCCGACGCCCGCATAAGAACAAAAGGAAAATCTCAAAACATTCATTTTTTCACTTTTATTCATTTATTATTATCTTTTTTTTTTACTTATTTATTTTCTTTTTTTTCGAAACAAGATTTTTGAAGCCGCCCACCTTCCGTCGACGCACGCATAAGAACTCAAAAGGAAAATCTCAAAACATTTATTTTTTTCACTTTTATTCACTTATCATTTAACTTTTTTTTCACTTATTTATTTTCTTTTTTTTTTCGAAACAAGATTTTTGAAGCCGCCCATCTTCCGCCGACGCCCACGCTCTCCCGCCGCGCCGCCGCCCTCACTCCGCCTCATACGCTAGACTCACAACACTTATAACACATCATTAAGGAGTTATAATCATGAGGACGGGCACTGTCGACTTACTTAAAATACCCCAAATTACATACCCTTAAAACGTGCCCTAAAACCCGCACGCCGTATTTTATTTTTTTCTTTCACAATCTTTAAAGGGAAACCTAAAATCGTCATGCAACTCAAACCCTTAAAAGTTGCACGCATATATCTCATCCATACCTAAAATCTTACCCAAAATTCGAGCCCTTCAGTAGACTTACCTAAATTCCTACCGCCGAAAAAATACGCACTTCTTTTTTTCTAGTAAACCCTTAAAAAGCCCCCCCTCCCCTCAAATAAAAGCGTCTACCAATATATATAAAAACGTGCACTTTTTATTTTCCTAGTAAACCCTTAAAAACAAACAAACAAACAAAAAAACAAGTGTATCTACCTTTAAAAACGCAAAAAAAAAAAAAAAAAAAACAAGTGTATCTACCTTAAAAAAAACAACGCACACATCCCTTTAACAACGTACCCTTACAAAGCATTCCGAAGAACAAGAGACCCTAAAATACCCCTAAAATGAGAGGACCTACCCTTAAATAACGCAGTTCCCCGCATACGCGGAACAAAAAACCAAAAGATCCCAAAATATAATAATGATAATAATAATAATAATAATAATAATAATAATAATAATATAATAATATAACAATAACAATAACAATAACAATAATATAATAATAATAATAATAATAATAATAATAATAATAATAATAATAATAATAATAATAAATAATAATAATAATAATAATAATAATAATACCCTAAAATCTACCCCCCCCCCCTCAAATCACTCCCTTTCTAAACACACCCTAAGGAACTTCCCACAACACCCGAAAACCACCCGACCCCCCAAAAACACATCCTAAAACAAAACACAGAGAAACAGAGCCCAATAAAAAATATTATACATGATCACTCCTACCCCTCCCCACAAAAAAAAAATAATAATAATAATAAATATATATATAATTTTTTTTCTACATCTCTTCCCGAGACATCTCTCATCTCTATCAATCCTCCTCCTCCTCTTCCCTCCCCTCCCCCCCAGAATAAAAAAAAATCACTCTTTGCATCCCACTTTCCCACATAAATAAAAACTTTCTACCTCCCCCCCAAAAAATCACCATCAATCCCACATCGCCCCCCCCCAAAAAAAAAAATCAGACAATAAATAAACAAAACAAAAAACACAAAAGCCACACACACATTCCCCCAACCTAAAAACACACACACACACACACACACACACACACACATTCCCCACAACCTCAAAAAAAAAAAAAAAAAAAAAACACGCACACATTCCCCCCAACCTAAAAAAAAAAAAAAACACACATTCCCCCCAACCTCAAACCCCACACAGACCCAACCTCAAAAAAAAAAAAAAAAAAAAAAAAAAAAAAAAAAAAGCACGAACCCCCTCGGGCAACCTACCGTGGCCTCGGCGACTTTGGGATACGACGGAGGGCTTCTAGCGGCGACGAGAGTGGCGGTGGTGGAGGCCGTCGTTAAAAAGGCTTCTGGTTTAAGGGCTTCTCCGTCCATATTCACCATTTAGCGGCACAATTCGGAGGGAGATTGGATAACGGATCTCAATTTTGGATTTTTTTTTTTCCAGGGTGTGTGTGGATATTTTGGATATTCGTGTTTTTTATTTTCTATATTTTTTTCGGTTATTTTTTCTCTCTTATCACTTTTCTTCCTTGTTATTTCGTTTAAGAGTGGCGGTTGACGATGGAAGGAAGAAGGAAGGGGGAAAAGGGAGAAATATTTCACTCGCCCTAACTCTCCTTCGTACGGGAAAAAATTGAAACACGCTTCGAAAAAAAACAAAACGAAATTTCACTTTTTGAAACGGATCCACATATACTTTTTAAAAAACGGTCTTCTTGCTCTTGTATTTTTTTTATTTTTGGGTCAAAGTCGTCACAAAGGCACTCGATGGGTTAATCCTTGCAAGGTTTCCATTTCTCTCTCTCTTCGTTTCACACAAAATCCATTCACTGGTACAGGAGTCGATGGGGCACACGCAATAAATCAATAATTCCAATAAGTTAGGTCAATAAATAAGTTAAATAAATAGGGTCAATAAATAGTCGTTAGAATAAATTAGTTAAATAAGTTATCAATTATAAATAAGGTTTCCACGGCACCGGTTCCTGAGCGTATATATATTGGGGCTCCGGGCGAAGACACGTACAGTAAGGCACTTCATAAGGTAGTAATCTTTATATAATTTTCCCTCTCTTCTTTGTAGGCCTATAAACCACACCTGAACTTGCGAACACTGAGATTTATATTTTTTTCCTTAATGAGATGGATCTATTTCTTTCCTGCTTGAAATTTCGGTTTTTCGTTACAAAAAAAAAAGTTCACTTCGATATGAAATTTAATAAATATACTTCTTTTCCTTCTTCAGAGTTTCGAGACAAGGTCACGATCCCGGGACACACGAGGTCAGCCCCCCCACGAGTTCCCGGCCACGAGGGAGATGGTGTTGTTGGCGAGGTGGCGAGGACACTGAGGAGATGGAGGAGGAAGAGGAGGAAGAGGAGGAGGAGGAGGGGAGGGAGGGAGAGGTGTCAGGTACGGGAGGAGGAGGAGGAAGGAAGGAGGGAGGGACGAGGGAGGGAAAGGGGGAGGAAGGTAATGTGGGGGGTATCTGTTGGGGGGGAGGAGGGAGGAGTAGTGAGGGGTATCTGTTGGGGGGAGGAGGGAGGAGGGGAGGAGGGAGGAAGGGGCGGGGAGAGGAGGAGGAGGAGGAGGACAAGGAGGATGGTCGTGTGGAGGTATCTGGTGGTTGGGTTGCAGCTACGGAGATATTCTTAGGGAGGAGCGCCGGTGCCTCGGAAATAGACCAGAAGAGGCGATGGCGGAGGCGTTCTCTCTCCCTCTCTCCCTCTCTCTCACTTCTCTCTGTCTCTCTACCTCGGTCTCTATCTCTTGTCTCTGTCTCTTCCTCCTTTGTTTTTTTCAGTTTCTATCACACCTTCCTTTTTGTTTTCCCCTTTCTTTGTTCACGCTTTGTCTCCCCGCACCGGTCACTCCTTCTCGGGCTTGTTTTTCCCCTCACTAAACTCTCTCTTTCTCTTTCCTTCTCTCTCTTCTCCCTCTTTCTCTTTGCTCTCCCTCTTTCTCCCTCACTCTCCCCCCGCACGCCCCCACTTCGCTCTGGGCACCAAACGGATGGCCTTGATCCTGACTCTTCTTGGCCCTCTCTTCTTCTCTCTTCTCTCCACCTCCTCTCCTTCTTCCTTCTTGTTCTTCTTGTTCTTCTTGTTCTCCTACTCACGCTGGCGCTGGAGGGGGACTCGAGAGTGCCCAGCTGATACTGCTCCTTGCCAGGCGGCCGTGCCAGACCTGGGTGCCAAGGTGCCAGAAACCCCGGGAGCCAAGTGAGGCAGAATCATTGAGTCTGCTACACCGAGGGAGAGAGAGGGGGAGGGGGCCTGGGGGGAAGAGGGGGGGTGGGGAGCAGCAGGTATGAAGGGGGGGCGGGGGAGAAGTAAAGAGGGGGGGTGGGCGGAAGGGGGGAGGAAAGGGGGGAGGGGAGAAGGGAAACAGCGCGCGCACATACACACACACGTACGCGGGGATGGTAAAGCATAGGGGAAGGCGTGGGGAAGAGGGGGGGGGGAGGGGAGGAAAGAGGGTCTGAGGAGGAGAAGAGGAGTAAAAGTAGGAGAAAAGATACAAGAAAAAAAATATAGGAAGAAGGAGAAATACATTAAAAGCAACACGAAAAGAAAAAAACGAAGACAACGAGAAACAAACAGAAAGAACGAGAAGAGAGAGAGTTAGAGAGAGGAAAAGATAGAGAAGGGGGTTAAGGGGTAGTAAGAAGGTACCCTGGGGGGGAAGAGGGGGGGGGGCGAGGGGGCAGGCAGGCACCCCCCGAGCTCGCCGTCTTGAGGTATTTTGGGCACCGGAGCCAACACACAAGCTCACCCGTGGCTCCCTCCGCCCGCTCGTCAGCGCCATCGTCATTTCCCGCCCGATCGCTTTCGAGTCGGGGTTTTAGCGTTCGAGTGTGATCTTGGAGCTCGTTTCCCTTCCTGTATTTATTATTTATTATTTTTTGTTTTATTATTATTATTATTCTTTTATTATTATTATTTATTTTATTTATTATTATTATTATTTTATATATTATTATTCTTTGTTTTAGCATTCGAGTGTGATCTTGGAGCTCATTTTTCTTCCTGTTTATGTTATTTATTATTTTTGTTTTAGCATTCGAGTGTGATCTCGGAGTTCATTTTTCTTCCTGTTTTTTATTATTTTATGTCTTCTTCATTTTTAAAAATTCGAGTGTGACCTGTATTTTAATTTTTCTTCCTGTATTTATCATTTTATGCCTTTTTCACTTTTAAAAATTCGAGTGTGACTTTATTTTCTTATCTATATTTTATTTTATTTTTTATTATTATTATTTTTTTTAATTCGAGTATGATTTTCATGTATTTTTTTCCTGCATTTATTATTCTGTGGTATGTCAATGATTGTTTTTTTTTTTTCATTTGGTTTCTCTTATGTTCTATTTTCTTATAATTCGAGTATGACCTTTGTCTTGTATTTTTCTGTATTTCTTTTATTAATTTGGGTATTTTTTTATTGTTTTGATTTTTATTTTGATTCTAATTTTCAAATTCGATTATGATCCTTATTTTTTAATTTTCTTCTTATATTCTTGATTTTTTTTGAGGGTCGTTTTGATTTTTTGATTTTCTTTATTCTAAATAAATTATATCTTTTTATATCGAGTCTGAGATCCTTATTTTCCATTTTATTCATATGTTTTCCTTTTGTTTGGTATTTTCTTGATTTTTTTTTTTTTGGGGGGGGCGTTTTGAATTTTTTTCTTTATTCTATATAAATTATATTTTTTGATGTCGTTTGATCTTTATTTTCATCTTTTTCTTCATTTTTCTCTGTCTGATTCTTATATGCTTAATTCTAAATACATTCTATTTTTTTCTATATCGAAAATAATATTCATTATAGATCTTTTTTCAAATATTTTTTTCTTGTTTTTTTCTGTTCTGTTTTTTCTTGATTTGTTTTGATTTTTGTTTTGATATCTTTCTCCCTATTCTCTTTTCTTGCATTTCTCTGCATTTTAATTACCGTACGCATTTTCTCGCATTTACCGCTTATTATTATTATTTTATTTTATTTATCTTTTTTTATTCTCTTATTTCCTTTATATGTTTCCTTCTTATTTTTCCTCTTTTCTTCTTATTTTCCTCTTCCTTTCATTTCTCTATATTATTTTCTATTTTTTCTTTCTCTATCTACATTATCTCTCTTTCCGTATCCCTTTCCTAATTAATAATTTCCACTTCCTCAATTTCTTATCTTTGTTCTTTTCCTTTCTCCCCTTCTCTACTTCCTCCCCTTCGCCCTATCGTTCCTTCCCCTCTTTCCCTCCTCTTTCTTCTCCTCCTCCTCCTCTTTCTCCTTTTTTCCTCCTCCTCCTCCTCCTCCTCCTCCTCCTCCTCCTCCTCTCCTCCTCCTCCACCCATTTCCTCTTCTCTTTCTCCTTCCTGTCCTCCTCCTCCTCCTCCACCTCCTCCTCCACCTCCTTCCTCCTCCACCTCCCCTCCACCTCCCTCCACTCCACCTCTCCACCTCCTCCTCCCACCTCCACCTCCACCTCAACCTCCAACCTCCACTCCACCTCCACCTCCACCTCCACCTCCACCTCCACCTCCTCCTCCTCCACTCCACCTCCTCCTCCTCCACCTCCTCCTCCACCTCCACCTCGCACCTCCACCTCCTCTTCCTCTTCCTCCTCCACCTCACCTCCACCACCTCCACCTCCACCTCCACCTCCACCTCCACCTCCACCTCCACCTCCACCTCCTCCTCCTCCTCCACCTCACCTCCAGCACCCCCACCTCCACCTCCTCAACCTCCTCCACCCTACTCCTCCTCTTCCTACATTCCTCCCCCCCATCCCCACCCCATCCAAACGACCCCCAGCCCTAGTTCAGGTCCGAATCCCCAGCCATAACACGTGGCGGCGGCCGTGCACACAACGACCCTAATGCAAGGGTGAACAGCAGGTATACCAGGAGAACGTGGTGTAAAAGATGAACTTAGTATAGCGGGAGTATAACATACGAACTTGGTATAACGGGAGTGTAACAGATGAACATGGTATAATGGGAATGTAACATGTGAACTTGGTATAACGGGAGGGTAACAGATGAACTTGGTATAACGGAAGGGTAACAGATGAACATGGTATAACGGAAATGTAACAGATAGATGTGGTATAACAGATGAACTTGGTATAACAGAGTAACAGATAGACGTGGCATAACACACGAACATGGTATAACGAGAGTATAACAGACGGACTTGATGTTACTTGAAGAACAAGGGTATAGCAAAATAAAGTGATATAAAAAGAACAGAACATAACATATAACCCTACGTAGTATAAACGAAATAACTGGGTTACAGATGAACGGGGTATAACAGGGGTATACCAGATACCGAATACCAGTACAACAAATAAACGTGACATGTAAATAGCATAACAAATGAACGTTTTCAAGGCATAACAAACGAACGAAGCAGCAACGAAGAGAAAGGGTTATACCATAAAGATGATATAACAGCAGAACATGGTACAGCGGATGCACATGGTACCAAGGACCGTTAAAAAATGTTAAAAATGTTTAAAATATCCAAATTTCAAAACAGAATTAACAAGAAGAAATAATAAAGAGGAAGAGCAAGGTTAACATGATCACAAAACAGAGGAGGGAGAGAGGAACAGGGAGGAAGGAGGAGGGAGGGAAATGGGAGGGGGGAACAGGGAGGAAGGAGGGAGAGGGGAAGAAGGAGGAAGGGAAAGGGGAAAAGGGGGAGGGGAAGAGGGACGAAGGAGGAGTAAAGGAAGGGGAGAAAAGGTGGAATGGGGAAGGATGGGAGAGGGGAAAAGGGAGGAAGGAGAAGAACAGGGAGGAGGGAGAGGGGAAAGGGGGAGGAGGGTTGGAGGGTAAGGAAGGGAGGAGGGGTTGGTTGAGGGTATTTTCTTCCTCCTAAACCCTTCCTCCTCTCCTCCTCTACCACCCCCTCCTCCTCCTCCCTCTATTTAAGGTTATACCCTTCCTCCCCTCTCTCCCCATCTCCTCCCTCTTTCACTTCATTTGTCGCCCTTCTAATTCTCTCTCTCTCTCTCTCTCTCTCTCTCTCTCTCTCTTCTCTCTCTCTCTCTCTCTCTCTCTCTCTCTCTCTCTCTCTCTCTCTCTCTCTCTCTCTCTCTCTCTCTCTCTCCCTCTGCTTCCCCCTACTTTTCCTTCCCTCCTTTTATCCTCCTCCCTCCCTCCCTTCCCCCTCTTCCCTTCCCTTCCCACTCTCCCCCCCCCCCCCCCGCCACCCTCATATGACCTCGCGCAATTATTTCAGCGCTTTGAACTTGTCCAAAATCCTCGATCTAAACCACGATTAAGAGAAAAAGAGACGATTATCAAAAACAAACTAAAACAACAAGTGATTATTCTCCCCCAAACAAACAAGGGAATAAGAATAGAAACAAAAAAAAAA